CTTCCTCTCTCTAAAAAAAAAAATCAATAAAATATATTTAAAAAGAAAAAAAATGAAAGAAAAATGTGTAAAATGTGTATGGGTGAGGAGGTTTCTACCCCTGAGGATATGTGCTTCTTCAAGGCAGGACTATTTTATACCTTCACATGATGATTAAATACCTGCACACATATTTAAGGAATATAGGCCTGACCCTGTAGCCTTTGCTGGGCCACATGATTTACCACTTCTATGCTTTTCTGCCCTATGTTCTTAGCCTCTGCAAGCTGATTTTCACATTCTAGCTGCTAATTTACCCCAAACTTGACCATCCTGGGCAAGCCAGGGGCCATGATTTCATTTGTGGGCACAGTGGTTTGGATGTGGGGAGAGCCTGTCATTTAGAGCGGTGATTCTCAAAGCAGCAGCTCCTGGGAACATGTGCAAACACTGTCCCTGAAGCCCTGCCCTAGACCTTCTGACGCAGACAGTCTAGGGATAAGGCCGGGCAGCCTGTCAGAATAAGCCCTCACTCAGGGGATCCTGATGCATGCTGCAGTTAGAAAACCACTGACAGAGTCAGACCAGCATGGAAGAAAGAATGTCAGTCCTCCCTTTGTGCTGTCTGGGAGGCAGGTTCTCCCAGGGATCGATGCCCAAGGCCACCGTTGATGTGGAGCAAGCTCTAGCTGTACATGTGCCACCTGTAGTAGGAGTGCCAGCTGCCCATGACCTCGGCATTGTTCTTTAGTTTACCCAAGAGCCTCTGAAAGAGGGGAGAATACAGAAGGATTTACAAATGGCCAGGTTCACAGCACCTTTCAGGCTAGTCCATTGTTTTATGCTCAGGCAGGAGGCCCTCTTGCAAAACTCACCAGAATCCCATACAAGGCCAGCAGGAGGCTGAGAGTTGGGGGGAGGGGGAGGAGGGGAGAGAGGATAGGGGAAGAAGAGGGTTCGGGGAGCAGGAACATAATAAGTGCCCTTCATTAAGAGAGTGAATTTCTCAAATCAGCTGAAGGCCCTGGGAGAGGGAGACAGGAGCTTGCTTCATAGAACTTGAGTCCTCCTCATATTTAATTTTCAAAGTCAAATGTGTGGCAAATGAGAGCAGGATCCATGGTTTTTTAGGTCAAAGTAATTTGCTATAGCAAAACTTGAACTCTGGGTAAGGGAGTGGGGTGGGGTGAGAGGAGAGATTAAATATTCAAAATCTTAAAGCATCTCAGTGCCACAAAGGTCTCCGTGGTGGCTCTCAGTCACCTGAGAGGTTCTCAGCCATCCTGAGACCTGACTGCACAAGATACCCATTGGGAAACAGACCCTCTCTCCACCCTCAGCTCCGATCAGCACACCCATTCTTTTTTTTTTTTTTAAATATATTTTAAAAATATATATTTTATTGATTTTTTTATAGAGAGGAAGGGAGAGAGATAGAGAGTTAGAAACATCGATGAGAGTCATGGATCAGCTGCCTCTTGCACATCCCCTACTGGGGATGTGCCGGAAACCAAGGTACATGCCCTTGACCAGAATCAAACCATGGACCCTTCAGTCCGCAGGCTGACGCTCTATCCACTGAGCCAAACCGGTTTTGGCTAAAATATGTTTTTATTGATTTCAGAGAGGAAGGAAGAGAGAGAGAGAGAGAAATATCAATGATGAGAATCATTGATCAGCTGCCTCCTGCACACCCCCTACTGGGAATTGAGCCTGCAACCTGGGCATGTGCCCTTGACTGGAATCGAACCCAAGACCCTTCAGTCTGCAGGCCAAGGCTCTATCCACTGAGCCAAACCGGTTTTGGCTAAAATATGTTTTTATTGATTTCAGAGAGGAAGGAAGAGAGAGAGAGAGAAACATCAATGATGAGAATCATTGATCAGCTGCCTCCTGCACGCCCCCTACTGGGGATTGAGCCTGCAACCTGGGTGTGTGCCCTTGACTATATAGAATCGAACCCAAGACCCTTCAGTCTGCAGGCCAAGGCTCTATCCACTGAGCCAAACCAGCTAGGGCTGCACATCCATACTTTAAAGCAAGGGTCAGCACACTATGGCTTACAGGCCAAATCTGGCTCACCACCTGGTTTTGTACAGCTTGCAAGCTAAGAATGGTTTCTGCACTTTTAAATAATGAAGAAATAGTTTTTAAGGGCTATATTGTGACACATGAAAATTACATAAAATTCAAATTTCCGTGTCCATAAAGTTTTATTAGAACGCAACTCCTCCTACTTATTACATATTTTGAACTGTTAGGGTGGAGTTGAGTCATTTTCATGGCGACTGTAAGGTCCCCAAAGCTAAGGTGACCAGATGTCCTGCTTTTGGCGGGACAGTCCCGATTTCTTTCAAAAAAATCAGGACTTTTTTGAAACGCCGCAGGATAAATTGTTAGAAAATTGGGATTGTCCCGCCAAAAGCGGGATGTCTGGTCACCTTACCTAAAGCCGAAAATATTGACTCTCTGGCCCTTTCTAAGAAAGGTTTGCCGACAAAGAGTTGGCTGGCAGTTTAAGATTCTAACCAGATCCTGCAGCCAGCTTAGCTATGTATCCTCACCCCCAAAGCAACTTTCCATCCCGCTTATTCTTGTGTATCCCTGTGCTTGTGTTACCAAGTCTAATGCCTCAATGGTTCAGTTCTGACTCTTCCACCCTCGCTTTCCTTTTCTGTCATAACTCCTGCCTCTCCATTTCCAGGGCGAGTGAAAGAACCTGGGGCCAAAATTTGTTCCAATGAACAAATAAGAATAAGTCAGCTCAAAGCAAATGTTTTTCTCTGTACCGTTTCTGCTTTTCTCCCTCAGGCTGCGCTCACCAACTCTTCCGGCTTTCCCCTTTCAGTCGCCTGAAACCACTTCTCATAATCTTAGCACCCAAGGTCTGTTCTTAAGAGGGGAAGTGACTGCTCGTTCTTTACTGAAAACATTTTCTAATGTTTAGTTTCCCTCACTAAACCCAGATATTGAAAATTTAGGACTTGAGCAAGCTGGTGTCTGCATGTAAACATTTTGTAGCTACGCACACATTATGCCAAACTCAGTTGCAAAAACAATCAAACAAACAACACCCCCCCCACACACACACACACAAAAACCACCCACTTAAGGACCAGTTTGCAAACTGGAAAGAGCCAATTCCCTGGGCTATGCTTTAAAGCTGTGTTTAGCCTCCCAACAATCAGCTGTCCTGATTGGAACTCTTAGGGACGATGCCATGCAGAGCAGCTGCTTGGCAGGTATGAGCCAGCCACAGATGGGAACAAACGCTCAGAGCGCCTCCCAGAAAAGTTCACCGGACTGACAGGCAAATGATGGTTGAGTTGGGATTCAGAACTTTAGCCCAGGAGGCAGCACCTGCTGACAGCGCACCCTGGAGAGCGAGAGACAGCCTGTGAACAGCTGTCAGCCACAAGCCAAGCCCCAGGCGGGAAGCGCTCAGTGCCGCCACTGCAGGACCAGCGCGGTGCCCCGGCTCTGAGCCTCTGGGAGCCCGCACCGGTGCTGCGCTCCCACACTAAGGTGACCAGACGTCCCGCTTTTGAACAATTTGTCCCACATCCCTCGGCGTTTAAAAAAAAAAAATCGGTACTTTTTTAAAACGCCGCGGGATGCGGGACTAAATGTTCACATGCAGACACCAGTTTACTCAGGTCCTAAATTTCCAATATCTGTCTTTTTCAAAAATCGGGACTTTTTATTTTTGTTTATTTATTTTAAAAATATATTTTATTGATTTTTTTACAGAGAGGAAGGGAGAGAGATAGAGAGCTAGAAACGTCGACGAAGGAGAAACATCGACCAGCTGCCTCTTGCACACCCCCTACCGGGGATGAGCCCGCAACCAAGCTACATGCCCTTGATCATGCCCTTGATCGGAATCGAACCTGGAACCCTTCAGTCCGAAGATCGACGCTCTATCCACTGAGCCAAAGCGGCTTCAGCAAAAATCGGGACTTTTTTAAAACGCCGCGGGCCGCGGGACAAATTGTCCCGCCAAAAGCGGGACGTCTGGTCCCTTATCCTGCACATCTCAACGCAGCCACCTAGTCGGCACTGGCACTGATACTTCTGTTAGATGGCTGAGAATTTCGGCCCAAAGAGCCTAACTTACTGATGCAAAGTCACAGAGGTAGCCAGCGGTAGAAGAAGAGCAGTAGCGCAGGCAGGTGGAAAAGTCGAACCCCCAAAGCCTCACACAAAGCCTGCCTGCGCCCATGCACAGCACCCCTTAGGGGCCATCCCTCCACTCGCTCCCCCGTGTGGGAGGGAGAAGGGGGCTGGCTGATCTCTGGTCCCTCCCAGAACCTGCTCTCTTGCTCCTGGAGTCACTCCAGAGTGCTTTGCTCTGAAGCCGGCAGCGGTAACTTGTTTCCTAGCTGTTGTGCCAAGAAGGTACCAAGAAGGGAGGCTTGATTCTCCGTAGGCTCTGAGTTTAAGGATGGTGGCAGGGCGCTCCGAGGTGCCACCAGGGGCTAGCCCCAGCTCCTCTCTGGCCAGGCAGCACTCCCGGCCCGGGGGAAGGGGGTTGGGGATCAGAGAAACGCGAAGGCGGCCGCTAAGATCCCACAGCGGATGAAGTTGCCGCGCGCCCCACCAAGCGCAAGACCCAGCCAAGCCCAAGCGGAAACCCAAGCCCTGAGATTCCCAACAGGTGCGGGGCCGGCAAAGTGACTGCACTCATCCCTGCCGCCTCCAAGTCTGGGCGCGCCGGACCCTCTGCCTCTGCAGCCAGGAGACCACCTGGCAGGGCGATGCCACCTCAGCCCCGTAACTTCCCCGGAGCCACCGACTCTCCGGGGGTCGCTTGCAGCCCTGTCGCCGCGTCCCTGCCCCGCGCCCGGTGCCCGCCCGCCCTCCCGGCTCTGCGCGCAGGTCCGCGCCGCCGCCGACCACTGCGGGGACCAGCGTCGCAGCCCGGCTGGACCCCTGACACCCCCTTGGCAGCGCCCCGATCGCCGCGCAGCCCAATGCTCCCCGACCACCCCGCCCCAGCCCGGTCAGTCACCCTCGCCTACCCATGGTGGCGGCTCCGAGGGCTTCCTCCTTCACTCTGACAGCAGCCCTGCCTTCGCTCGCTTCTGGCTCTTTCTATGACTTGGTTTCCAGGCCCTGCCCAGCCACCTGCGCAGCTGGAGGTGTGCAGACGGGGCCGGGACTCCACCCTTGGGGCCGGGCGGTCGGATAGCAGGGAGCAGAGGTTAGTGCCCCTTGCGCCGCAGCGGAGAGACACCTGTCCGCTGCTGTCCGTGGCCAGCCCGGGACTCCACACCTTCGCCCCAGGCCCTTGGGGGAGACGGCGAGGGGCAGGCCGCAGGTGGCAGCGGGAGACCTGGGACGCTCCAAGGTGAGCGCTCCTCTGAGTCACCTGGAGGGCTTCTTAAAACGCAGGTTCCCCGCCTCTCCCCGAGTTGCTGAATGGCTGGTTGGGGGTGGGGCCAGAGAATTTGCATTTCTGAGAAGTTCTTAAGGTGATGCTGCTGCTGGTGCCAGGGCCACCATTTTGGAAACCTCTGCGCTGAGAAAATACCCCCGGCTGGGTGCGAAAGCAAAAGTGGGCGGGACAGGAATCAGTTTCACGTGCGCGCACCAGTGGCTGTACCTGGCGTGTGAGCCCGGGAAAGCATTTCTGGAGGGAGGATTCTGCCTACCATTCGAGGGAGGTGAGTGAGAAGCTAGAAAAATTCCGTGGCACGTGGGATGGGGAAACTGAGGCAGGTAGCTGTAGAAACTGGTTGAGCAATTTGTAGCAGATACAGAAGGCCTACAGGGCAGAAAGTGCCTAACAAACAGGCAAAACTGGTATGGGATCTCCCCCCAGGATGGCCTTTCCTCCATGGCATAGGCTGGCCATGTGATTTAGACTCCTGTCCTGGTGCTGGACAACCAGGGAGACCACAACCCTGAAAGGGCAGGCCTGCAAAAGCGGGGGAATCTTCTACTGAGATCCTCACCTAAGACTTCCTTAAACTCACAGTCTCTAACACCTTTCAGATGGAGGGCCCAGCGCCTGCTCTCTCCACCCCCCAAACACACACACACACACACACACACACACACACACACACACACACACGCCTTCCCCTCCTTCTTCTTCCCCCACAGATGTGCATCGCCTAAACTCTAAGGGACCCAGTAGACTTGCAATCAGGGGAGCAATGGGCAGCGGCAGGTCTTTGGGGGTAACCCCCTGAACTTGTCCCCAAGGCCCCTTTCCTCTGACAGCAGCCCTGCCTTAGCTCACTTCTTCCCCATAATGTTTCTAGAGCCAAAGCAGCCCAGCTGAAGAGGAACGACAAACTGATGTTTCTCTCTCCACCTCCCCTTCCCCTCTCTCTGAAAATCAATCAATACATTTTGAGCCGAAACCTGTTTGGCTCAGTGGATAGAGCGTCGGTCTGCGGACTGAAAGGTCCCAGGATCGATTCCGGATCTAGGGCATGTACATTGGTTGTGGGCACATCCCCGGTAGGGGGTGTGCAAGAGGCAGCTGGTTGATGTTTCTCTCTCATCGATGTTTCTAGCTCTCTATCTCTCTCCTTTCCTCTCTGTAAGAAAAATCAATAAAAAATATTTAAAAAAATACATTTTGAAAAAAATGAACAACAAAAAAGCAGCCCCACCTAGATTCATTTTCCCACCTAGTCCCTCTCTGGTTGCTTCTTCTGTCCTAAACCCCTCCTTGTTCCATCCTTAATGACTGTACTTTCAAAATCACCTGGACTTAATGTTATGAAATCTTTCCTACACAAAGTCAAGAACCTGCACACCGTTCTGGGCCCAGTCCTCTTTCCAGTAACACCGTCTTTAAAATAACAAAAACAGCCCTGGCCCATGTGGCTCAGTTAGTTGAGCATTGTCTCAGGAACCAAAAGGTCCCTGGTTCAATTCCCCATCAGGGCACATGCCTAGGTTGCTAAGCAATCTCTCTCTTGCGCTCGCTCTCTCTCTCTCTCTCTCTCTCTCTCTCTCTCTCTCTCTCTCTCTCTCCCTCTCTCTCCCTTTCTCCTCTTTCTCAATAAAATCAATAAAAATATATTTTAAACATAAGAAAAATAAAAATAACAGTGATATAGCAACCATCTCCAGATAATTTTTGTTTTTGTTATTGTTTTGTTTGATTTTAGAGATTTGTGATCTACAAAAACTAGGAGGAACATTAAAAATGGAAATAAAGGTGAGTTTCTATTGCCTTAAGAAAATTGTGGTAAAATATACATAACATAAAATTTACCATCTTAACTATAAGTGTTCAGTAAGTGCCATTAGTACATTCATATTGTTGGGCAACCATCACCTTTACTCATTTCCAGAACTTTCTCATCTTTTCAAATAAACTCTATTAAACACTACCCATTAACCACTAAGTCTCCACTCCCCCTTCCCTGGCCCCTGGCTGTCACCCTTCTACTTTCTGTCTCTATGAATTTCACTACTCCAGGTACCTTATATAGCTGGAATCAAAAAGTATTTGTCCTTTTGTGTCTGGCTTCTTTCACTTAGCATAATACCTTCAAGGCCCATCCATGTTGTAGTGTGCATCAGAATTTCCTTCTTTTTTAAGGCTGAATATGATTCCATCGTACGTGCCTATCACATTTTGTGTATCCATTCACCTGTCTGTATTAATTTTTGAGTCTCAGCAATTCCCCCAGCCTAACTAGAAGACGGTGATGTGGCAGTAGAAACCCAGCAGCTCTCACAGGAGTGCTTGGGCCTGCCCTCCTCAGGCTTTCTTCAAGAGGAGAAACCTCATCATGCAGTGGCTTCATTGATACACACAGGGCTGCAGCTGATGTTACCTAAAGGCATGGGGCTATAAGTAGAAAAGTTGCATCAAGTAGAAAAGTGCAGCATTGACTGAAGGAAAGAAAACTGGCTCTTGAAGGGTTGGAAGCATGCTTCATAGTTGTCCTGCTATCAGATAAGCCAGGGGGTAGAAAGAGAAAGCTTGTGCCTGGCTGGTGTGGCTCAGTGGTTGAGTGTCAACCTACAAACCAAGTTCAATTCTTGGTCCCCAGTGGGGTGTGTGCAAGAGACAGCCAATCGATAATTCTCTCATCCTTGATATTTCTATCTCATTCTTCCTCTCCTTTCCTCTCTGAAATCGACCTCTCTATATATAAACCTAAGTGATCGTTGTGACCGAATGAGCAGACCGACCAGTCAACCAGTTGCTATGACATGCACTGACCACTAGGGGGCAATGCTCAACTCAGGAGCTGCCCCCTGGTGGTTAGTGTACTCCCACAGCCAACCTCCCACTGCAGGTTCATGGCATTGGCATCGAGTTTCTGTTCCTTCTGTGTTTGGCCTAGTGACCATCATCTCTCCAGATCCCTTTGGGCCCCGGACTGGGATGGGAAACTGGGGAGGGTTTTGGTGGACATGGTCCCTTTCCTAGGGGGTCTGAGGGTTGGCTCCCTCCTTGGGACCAGTGGCCAACCTTCTGCACCCTTTCCCTCCCCAAGGCTGGTAGGCCTCAATTGGCCCAGCCCTGATAGGTCTTGATTGCCGGCCAGGCCTTGAATTCATGCATGGGGCCTCTAGCAAAGATATATTTAAAAAAAATAATAATAAAGGGAAGAAACAGAAAGCTTGTGATAGTTTCTTTTGATTAAACTTTTCTCTACAAGGTGGTATTTCTGTTATTGAGCTTATGAAGCCTAGAATCTTGGCACTCTTGTTCTAGGTCATGCTAACCCCCAAATAAAAGGCCTTTCAAAGTGAGAGACAACAAGCATTTATTTGAGATCAAACAGCTAAGGGGAAGCACTGATTCAGATAGAAGCCCAAATACTGTTCTGAGTAAGAGACAAAGGCAATGGGTATTTGAGAAAGGGAAGGAGAACAATGACATTAACAGAAAGAAGACATCTCTGTTGGTGCAAATGAACTAACACAGCAATGCCAATTCCAAACTATGTTTTAACTTCCACTCTAGTAGTCAAAATAACTGCTGTCTTGTTATCTTTGCAAACAGTCTTTGAGGCACAATGTTGCTTTGGGTTCTCTCCAAAGGCACTGCCCTGTTTTGACATTTTAAAGACTTGAGGCATAAGACCTGCAAGGCAGTTCCTCTGGGATGACAGCCCCATATATATATATATATATATATATATATATATATATATATATATATATATATGCAAATGATTCTCAAAGTGAGGCCACCAGACCAGCAGCATCAGCATTACCTGGGACTTTGTGACAAAAGAAATTCTCAGGCTCCATCCCAGACCTTCTGAATCAGAAACTCTCTGGTAGGGTGCAGCTCACTTTTCAGTGGTCATGAGGCACATGCTATTTCTCCCATAGGTTTATTTAAATTCTTTTTTTTTACCAGACAGGAGACTGGCTCTGAGTGGGTCTGCCTAGGGCCTGGCAGTAGTGTGTGGGTTCTTGATTCCATGCAGGAAAGATTTCATATCGCAATTCCAGACGACTTTGAGACGACATTTATTAAAGCTGTGGCCGTGAGACAAGGATGGGCCTAGAGAGGAAGAAGCAACAGGAGAGAGACTAGGTGGGGAAATGAGCCTAGGCTGGACTGCTTTGGCTCACTAAGAAGTCAGAGAAAAGGGGGCCTTGGGGACAGGTCAGGCCTGCTGCCCGCTGCCCATTGGTCCCCTGAGATGGGTGTTTATGGAGGAAGGAGGAGGTGGAAAAGGGGGGGAAGAGAATGGCAGGAACATGGCTCCCCAAAGGAAGAGTGCACAGAGCCCTTTGACTGGAGGGCTTTATTTCTCTCAGGAGGGAATCTTAGGGGAGGTCTCAGGGAAGGGTTTTTGTAGAATACTCATCAGTTTTCCAGGTGTGCTCTTTCAGGTGTGCCTTTCCTGAGTGGTCAGGACTCATTGCAACTTGTCATGGCATGTTGTCCACCTGGTTTTGCTGCTTTTCTGGGCCTGGAGCTAAAATACAGTTGAGGCCTAAATGTTATCTTTAGGGAAGTGACCTTCTGTATCTGCTAGAAATTGCTCAGCCAGTTTGTTGAGGTGTCTCAGTTTCCCCATTCTACTTGCAAAGTAGAATTTCTCTAGCTTCTTATTGCCTTACCTTCATTCAGCTATTATTTATTTACCACATCCAAAGGAGAAATATTATGCTAGTGACAGTATTGTGCTGTCACTGTTGGAAGGTAATTGTTTATGACTTGATTCATGATCACAAAGGCTCATATTGTCTTGTCCTTTCTGTCCCAGCTCTGCATTCACAGAGCTTATACTTGTTATTTTTTAAGAATGACAAGAAGAAGCATGTTACTCAAGATGGAGAAGCAAAAATGAAGGACAAAAACTGAGGGTACAGAGACAGCTCTGCTGACCCTGAATCCATCGGCCAATCCCTTGAGCCCACTGGAATTCCCA